CAGGATAATTGCCCATTGAATGGACTCATGGTTTCCTTGTGGCTATTATTTCTGATCCATGTGCAAATGCTCAATTAGAGAAGGTGATTCCAACTGAAGGGTGATCAGCCGTTGCAACATTAGAGCTGAATACTGTACAAATGATGACAAGGGACAGCCTATTGAATAAACGGTCATTATGAACGTACTGTGTGTGGGCTGGGCATTTGAACTCGTCTAGTTTCTATCCTGTCCGAGACAATCGAATAGAATAGGATAGAATAGAATAGGTTAGTACTGTATTAACAGTGTATGTCTCTCTAAAAAGACCCATTTGCTTTCACTGCATCAGGGGTTATGGGTTCAATTCCTGCATGGGCCACATGTATTGAATATATGTGTCACTGTCCATGTTGACAGTTCTGTTCGTCGCTTTGGGTAAATGCGTCTGCTACTCTGCTCCGCTCCACTCCACTCCACTCTACTCTACTCCACTCTTCTCTTCTCTACAACACTGTTTCGCACATAAACAGCCTGTCTCCTAACAGGGGAGAGATGTAAACAACAGTGTAGAGGACAGCTCTGAGCACCAGTCAGTCAATAGCAGTCAGCAGGTGAGCCTGTCTCTCTGTCTGCTGCGTGGCAGACACCGATCAGCACTGATGTTCCCACATCACCCATCCACAGGTGGGCTTCCTACATCCATGGATCCTAACCTGTCCAAGTCCGTTTGGACTGGACTGGTCAACGGCTCAGTTGGTAGAGCATGGCACTTGTAGCTTTAGGATAATGGGTTCGATACGTAGACTATATGCATGACTAAGTCACTTTGGATAAAAGCGTCTGCTAAATTAAATATAATTGTTATAATAATAATATTAATAATAACACACACTCTACCACACTCTCAGAAATAAGGGTACAGTTAGGGTACAATACTGTTCCCTGGGGTACCAAAATATCAAAATACACATCATGTACCTTCAGCGGTACACATATGATCTCACATGGTACAGTGTGGTTCCTTTTAGGGTACATGTGCGGATAATCTAGTATAATGGTACATTTTGTCTCCGGTACTAGAGCATTGTCACCTTCCATGACCTGTTTAGATTTTGTGTGGTCAAGGTTTCTTTTCAGTTCTTCTCAGTTGGCTTCAGGTGCTTTAAGGTGCCAGAATGTGGGGAAAGTGATATCCATCATTTTGTGTAATCAAATTCATAGAACTCATATAATTAAATACAGTATCATATATCAATGTTTCCCAAGCCCACCTGATTCTACCTGTCAACTGATCATCAAATCAGGTGTGCTTGTCCAGGGCCACAACAAAAATATGTACTACAACAAAAATGTGTGCTGTTCGGGGTACTCGAGGAGCGGAGTTGGGAAATATTGTCATATATTGTATCAACCTAGATCATTCTCTGGAAATCTCCAGAGCTCATAGGGTTCCTGTCTGTTGTGCTAATGTGAGGTACAGTTTCATAGTGTGTGTATCTCTCTCACATAAAACAATGTAGACCCAATCAGATGCCAGTGGAACCAAGCCATCTGCTGTATAGACAGGTTGGCTGACAACGTCACGAAAATGAAGCGCGCATCGATGTGGCCGCAAGCCGCAAATTGTTATGATTCTGAACGATCAGATTGCTAGCAGCAATGACAAGAAGCTGCCATGTGGGGAATCGTAGGTGGCTTGTTTCAGCTTGTTTATCTTGTTCTTTATACCATGTCTTGTTTTGAGGTGTTTTGACGGATTTCATGTCAATGCTAACATCACTAAAATTGGTTAGCTAAGTAACCAACAACTGTAACGATGTATTTGAGAGACAACAAGTGCTCATTGTGCAAATGTACTTATGTTTTCAATAAACATTTGGAGTCTAAATATAGTTTACATGTTGTCAACAATCTAAGCCAACCCTGTCTGTTTTGCCCCATAGTTGCGCACGCGTAGGTTTTGTGGCTAAACAACCAACCTGTCTATAGAGTGGGTTAGACATTGAAATTGAAAAAGTAGAATGGAGATACCCATTCAAGTCTATGTTCTGTGATGGGTGGACCAGCGGCCATTTTTAATATACCCATGAATGATCTCCATTTTAGTTTTTACATTTCTATGGGTTAGAGATGTGGCCTTATAATACACACATATTGACTCAGGCAAAACAGGCTGGTTGTTATACCTCTAATTATTGTGGCAGTTGACACCTAGATGTTCATTAGAGAGACTTACTACAGTATACTGTAGGCTACTCCCATATACTTTATATTTAACAGATTGTGTCTGTGTATGTCCCAAATGGCACCCTATTCCCTATAGAGTGCAGTACTTTCATGTTAGTAGAGCATTATGTAGGGAATAGGGTGCCATTTGGGATACATTCGCTCTCTTGCACCCCCATTCACATCTGAGGATTGACCTAGGAATTGAGTGTGTTATTCCAAGGAGAAGTTAGCCACATGTGATATTTTGGAATCCATTTTATTTCCGGACATAAATATTATTTATCGCAGTATTCTCTACACAGCACAAGGTTACAATATATTCTCATAAATATCTCTAATACAATTCAAGTGTGGATATCATATTGATTTTTTGATGAAAATAAATGTATGTATTTAACTACAAAAATAAATACGCTTTTCAATGTTTTACTAGATTTGTATGCATTCACTGAACATTCAATTGACTATCAAATAAATACAATTGATACAGCACAAACTACAGTACTCTCTCTATCACTAACGATAACATGAACATGGAATTAGGGCTCGATTCAATCCGTAGCGCTGAAGATATGCATTTCAGCGTGATTGAAATGTAAAGTTTATTTCCGATTGAGCCAACACATGCAGTGTTTATCGTGAATAGGGGAAATTTTGCCTTTAAATGTAAATCATGCTATAAGGCTGATCCTCTGCGCTACTGATTGAATAAATACCTTAGATTCCATAATATGAGTGGAACCACACGTTAGACCATTATCAATTTATAGAGAAAGCATGCATCCCAAATGGCACCCTATTCCCTATATTGTGCACTACTTTTGAGCAAAGCCCTATGGACCCTGGTCAAAAGTAGTGCACTATAAAAGGAAAAGGGTGCCATTTGGGAAGCATTCAAAATAAGAAACTCAAAAAACAGCATATCAACACCACTACTACATTCCTATTCATTTGCATACGTCACACAAACAGGTAACAAACATTCTTCCACAGAATCACCACATCCACTTGATGAAACGGTATGAGACAAAACTGAATCCTGCACACAATCTCTACTACCTATGCCTATGGAAATACATCTAGAAATACTGTAGTGTAAGCACATCAGTCTAAAGTTCAAGGCAAATATGTTTATGTTTTGCATGGACTCATATACAGGTACAACATTTGACGTTATTTTTACCAATCCCTGCTTTTCAACAACAAGTAGACATTTCTGAATAGATTTGTAAGTTGTTTTAAGTGCACTTAACGTGCATTTCTAATACTTTTTTTCCTAATTGTGCATGCATAGGGAAATAGAGAGTGAAGGGAGGGGAGGGGTGACTATGTGAGGTATATAGTCAGAAAACGACTGATAAAAGACTTTCACTGTCACCTGGTTAACATTCAAATGCCCAGCAAAATACATGATTAACACAAAACAACAATAACATGTAACAGCAACAATTAACATTTAAACACTCTTGACTTTGATATTTGTGATCACAATTAAACATTTACAAGGACAAACTGACAGGTTTTGAACATGAGATCATCATCAAAAACATGCAGGGTTTTGATTGTTACAATAAGACACTTCTCTATTACACACAAGAGGACATTACTGTATTCTAAGTTCTAATACGTTCTACATTCTACTGTGACCAAAATATTGCTGAGTACCAAAAATAGCTAAGATAATGAATAGATTTCATATGAATTGCATGTGCAAGCCTTGCTGCGTAAGCTATTTTATTATTGCACAGTATACCCTCGCATGACTGTATTTTATTCGTAATGTTTCTACACTACTACTAGTCTACTGTAGAAACATACACATCATGATTCACGTTACATTATCACCACTTAGTGAGCAAAGCTCAGTTCATCCTACTGAACTGATGCAGAAGGTGACACTGACTTTTTCATTACTCAAACTATTGCATCACACGCACAGGACATGACAAATATGGTTCACAGTACAAAGATACTGATACATAGCAACTGTTGCTACTGAATTGAGAATCATTTAAGTCTTTTTTTTCTCAAGCAATGCGCTCCTGTTATTCTTCACATATCATGTATTTTATATGATTTCTTTACAAATGTAAGTAAAAAATATAGAACATTAAAGTGCCTGTCATCCTTTAGACTTTACTTGATAGAAATCCCTTTTTGCCAACGTCCTTGACGATCTTGAACCTAGTTTACTTGAATCCCATTAGTTACAATATGATGAATGTTTGCATGACAAATGTGAATAATAATGGTATATTCCGGTATATATTTAGGAGTTGTTTCGATAAAGCTGATGAATATATGTTGAGCGTACATACACTGAGATCATTTAGGAGCTAGTTCATTCATCCTCTCGGTGAAGAGGAGCTGTCCGTCACTACAGTGCTGAAATAGCAGGCATGGCTTTAGTTTCCTATTAGTAGACCAGATAGCTCTGCTCTGTCTAGACTCCCACACAGTGTCAATGATGAATGAGAGTCTACATCATCGTTTCTACGTCTATCTACATCTATATGTTTTCTTCTATGTTTAATTCTTTGTAATCATTATAGCTAAATTATTTACTCTTAGTTTTATGTTCATAGTTACATAGTTAAGGCTTCATATTTTCTGATTGAATCGAGAGATAAAGTCGTAAAACAAAAACCTGATTGCACAAACACGAAAATACACACAGGACAACTAGTTAACACTCCTTTTACGACATACCGGAACGTGTCGGAAGTTGAGTGTGACTCTGAAGCTGTCGTAATATGGACACCGTAAAGCTACATTGGTATGACTTACTTCTCTGTTTTCTGAAGTGTGCTTGGAGGCTTGCTGCCTGCTCCTTGGCTTTTCTCAACCACCTTCGAGGCAGCAGGAGCAGCACTGCTCTGAGGCTTATTACTCTTCTTGCACAGATCCTTCATCTCTACGAGGCCCTCGTCCAGAGCCTTGATGAACACGGCCGAGCAGGTCTCGGTGCTACCGTGGAAGCTGGTCACGCTGAAGAGGAGGTGGTCTGACTGGGGGTTGTAGCAGCACCCATACCCATTAGGAACCACCGGGCCATAGCAGCAGAACATCTCCACTGTGGTAGGGACCTGAGGAGGATGTACACCAGTTAATACCCATCTACCTGCCCCAGTCTACCTGCAGGTTGTTTTGGCATTAATACGTGTCACATATCAGTTTGCAAACAATGTAATTGGGTTAATAAAGCCGCATTCAAACATGGTCTCTTTTTTGCTTTCTTGAGTAAGGCAGCTCCAAAATGCAGGTGTTTCAGCCTAGCTCAGTGCTTTCTGTGGTGGAGGGGCAGCCAACGGACCATACAGAGTGTAGGGGTTGGTAATGTTCTCTAGTTGCGCCGTGATTGGCTCAATGTTCTGTCACTCATGGGGAAACTACGTCACCACAAAATCTACAGGGAGAGCTTGAAAATTCAAGCCCCTTGGGTGCAGTCATAGAGTTACATTAGAAGTGCCCATCCAAGAAGGCTCAAGGTCATTGGCCACAGATAAAATGACGTCAAATCACGTTATATCTATAAGCCTCTACCGTAGCTTTGATTGGACTGATCATGTCAACATCATACTTTCAAAATCTTAGGTAGCAAGCTAGACAAGCAGTCATCATCATGAATCAAGTCAACAATCTACTGGCAAATCCTTTTCAAACCTTGTCATATGAAGATAAATTATAGATCAAATGTCAATCTTAGGCTCATCGGCCATTGGACATAAACATTACACAATAAATTGGAAAATACAAATTCAACTATGTGTGGTTTGGAAGGAATCAGTGGCTAACTGCTATTCAGTGGAGAAGGTGTGTGGTCCAAGTCTGGGTTTAAGTGTCTCTTTTCCAAGCTTAAAAGGATCAACATTCACATGCAACACCATGGACCAGAAAAGGTTGAATACATTGGCCTATGCTGTCAATCCAGCATGACTTCTGCCACGTTCAAAACAGCTGGAAACTCGGAACTTGGACATCTCAGACTTCAGTGAAAAAAACGAGTTCTGACTAGGAAAATACGTTTTGAACGGTCATCCAACTCAGAATTCCAAGTCGGGAACTCTGGCCTCTTTCTAGAGCACCGACCTGAAGATCACTGCCGTCATGATTCGACCTTGTTTTTTGTCTAGCTCCCAGTTGTCTTGAAAGCACCATAAATCCAGAGAATTCTAAAATGACATTTGCCCACAAGATTGACCGCCGCGCCACCTTCCTGTTGAAGTGAGCACAGCACAACGGTGCAAAAAATTTATTGTATGCTGCTGCATAAATTATGTAATATGCCAGGGAGATATGTATACTGTAGCTAAAAAAGTAATACTAAGTGTATGTTGTGTAGTAAGCTGTTAGTAGCCCATGTGCCTCACCCTAATAATTTGGTCCCTTTCCCCCTCATAACTTAACCTACTGTTCTGACTTGGTGGTGCACATGTTTTAGAGAAATGTCATAATCGAATATTGTACGAGCTTTCATTGTCTGCTTATATGCCCCCGTTATGTTCTGAATTCTGTCACTGTACATTTCAAAAGTGCTAAACAAATAGTTATATTGACTACGTCCGTCTTAGCTTGCTGATTAATGTCTTAATCGAAATTACGGATTGCCTCTTATCCGCTCATCGCTCCCTTATGCCATAGTTCATACATCTCAATTGTCATTAGACACCACATTTGTTTAAGCAAGTCAGTAAATGAAGCTGAATGAACTTTTTTGCTGCCAGACAAGGCTCCACTGATAGCCAGGTGTAGCGGTGGTAAGGATTCACTCCATGGTGCTGAAAAGAAAGCTCTGCTGTTGGGACAGCTTTATGTAGGCCCTAACAGTTTGTGGGCACCGTTTGTCACCGTTATAGTGCAATTAATGTATTGTTTAGTGTTGTGTTGTGTTGTGTTGTGTTGTGTAGCGGCTTTGCTGGCATGCATCCCAATTATTTTTTGGGAGTTTACCCTACCAAGATTTACATGCAAAATAAAATAAAATAAAATGAAATTGTATTTGTCACATGCGCCGAATACAACAGGTGTAGACCTTACCGTGAAATGCTTAATCAACAATTCAGTTTTAAGAAAATAGAGTTAAGAAAATATTTACTAAATAACCTAAAGTTTGAAAAAAGTAACACAATAAAATAACAACAACGAGCCTATATACAGGGGGTACCGGTACCGAGGCAATGTGCGGGGGTAGTTGAGGTAGTTGAGGTAATTTGTATATGTAGGTAGGGGTAAAGTGACTAGGCATAGATAATAAACAGTGAGTAGCAGCAGTGTGGGGGGGGGGGGGGGTGGGTCAGGCCTACCACTGTTGTGTCGTCAGCAAACTTAATGATGGTGTTGGAGCCATGCCTGGCCACGCAGTCGTGGGTGAACAGGGAGTACAGGAGGGGACTAAGCACACACCCCTGAGGGGTTCCCGTGTTGAGGATCAGCGTGGCAGATGTGCTGTTGCCTAGCCTTACCACTTGGGGGCGGCCCGTCAGGAAGTCCAGGATCCAGTTGAAGAGGGAGGTGTTTAGTCCCAGGGTCCTTAGCTTATGATGAGCTTTGTGGGCACTATGGTGTTGAACGCTAAGCTATAGTCAATGAACAGCATTCTCACATAGGTGTTCCTTTTGCCCAGGTGGGAAAGGTCAGTGTGGAGTGCAATTGAGATTGCATCATCTGTGTGGATCTGTTGGGGCAGTATGCGAATTGGAGTGGGTCCAGGGTTTCCGGGATGATGGTGTTGATGTGAGCCATGAGTAGCCTTTCAAAGCACTTCATGGCCACCGACGTGAGTGCTACAGGGCGGTAGTCATTTAGGCAGGTTACCTTAGCGTTCTTGGGCACAGGGACTATGGTGGTCTGCTTGAAACATGTAGGTATTACAGACTCGGTCAAGGAGAGGTTGAAAATGTCAGTGAAGACACTTGCCAGTTGGTCCGCGCATGCTCTGAGTACACGTCCTGGTAATCTGTCTGGCCCTGCGGACTTGTGAATGTTGACCTGTTTAAAGGTCTTGCTCACATTGTCTACGGAGAGCGTGATCACACAGTCGTCCAGAACAGCTGGTGCTCTCATGCATGCTTCAGTGTTGCTTGCCTCAAAGCATAAAAGGCATGCAGCCCGTCTGGTAGGCTCGCGTCGCTGGGCAGCTTGCGGCTGGGTTTTCCTTTGTAGTCCGTAATAGTTTGCAAGCCCTGCCACATCCGACGTGCATTAGAGCCAGTGTAGTAGGATTCAATCTTAGTCCTGTATTGACGCTTTGCCTGCTTGATGGTTCATCTGAGGGCATAGCGGGATTTCTTATAAGCGTCCAGATTAGTGTCTCGCTCCTTGAAAGCGGCAGTTGTAGCCTTTAGCTCGGTGCGGATGTTGCTAAAATCGCCACTGCCATCTACTCAGGTATTCTTTAACTAGGGATTTATAAGTAGTTATATAAACTGTTACTGATTACTTCATAGATTATTTATATATACGTAATAAACAATTATAACACAATTGGTTGAAATAATGTTATTGTCTTCTAGCTGCTTGTCAAATACTAAGATTAGATGTATGCATGCTTGACTTTGGATAAAAGCGTCTGCTAAATTCCACATACTATATAGGATGTATTATGGTTGCACTAGAAATAGCCACATAGCAAAGCGATGACTAGAGGGTATACCTGACTGGTGGAGAGAATGAACTGGTTACTGGCCACATAAGTTTCATCTGTGAAGATCTCCGGCCTCTCCATCTTGAGCTCTTGTGAGATCTCTCTGAGTCCTAGAAGGTGATTGTCTATTCCCAACCCTTTAATAGCCTGTGAAACACCAAAAACCTTTAGAGCACCATGTATTTAAGCTAGTTAGGGCCCAATTCAATCAGATCTGCTTTAGCCGACATCTACATAGCTTTTAACGGTGTCGTAGGTGGAACTGCGTTAGAGCTGTCAAATAAACAAGTGGCTACCGGCATTATACCTAAAGCGCATTAAGAGAAATCCCATGCAGCCTTCTTTACAAGTTTGAAGACTGGAATGTGAGATGTAATCTACACCTCTATTAGGATGATAAAAATCCTTATTATTTAGTTTAATGATTTTCAATTTGAGCGTCATTATTTCTATATAAGCTACACTCTCTCGTTCTGAACTTTTAACGCGAGTGGGGCGGGTGTGGCTTCGTGACAATGATCACAAGAGCAGCTGCTCCGATTTGACAGCTACAACGCCGTTCCACCTCCAACACCGCCAAAACATCAGCTATCGCTGGTTAATGCTTGATCTGATTGAATTTAGGCCTTAAATTAGATGTTTCTCTTTATCAAATGGACTTATACAGTGGACAGTTTATTCAAATTTTGCACTTACTGCGATTGTGTAATTTGTCTGGGCGTTAATTGCATCCAACAATCGTTTCATCTTTTCTGAATCCTGTAAAATTGAATACAAACAAGATCACAATAAATAATTACATTAAGTCTTATGAGCTAAATATGATTACTCCACCTTGAACATGTTATGAGAGGAGACAAGGGTTCATATGAGAGATCGTGCTTGAAATCTGTAGAGAGATCAGCTGCTTTTGTGTGTGTGTGTGTGTGTGTGTGTGTGTGTGTGTGTGTGTGTGTGTGTGTGTGTGTGTGTGTGTGTGTGTGTGTGTGTGTGTGTGTGTGTGTGCGTGCTTCTGTGCATTCATCCGTGCTGGCTGGTGTGTTTGTGGCTGGAATGACGGACTCTCGACTCTGGTGGGAGGGAGGCGATGGCACCAGTTAAGAGGACATGATGAACAGTATAATGGGAGTAGCCCAGTAATTGGGGGTCTAAGTAAGAAAAATGACTCACAGAGAGAGAGGCCTTCTCGTCCGTCATGGCCTTCACAAAGGCCAGAGCCTCGGAGGTAGCTGAGCGGATGTTGTCCACCCGCCCCTCATGGAAGCGACGGATAGACGCACTTTCATAAGTGGACACCAGCCTTCCATTGCATCTGAAAAATATATAATTACTGTATATCAATGGAGTCATGTCCTTACATTCACTTTATGTGTGACCAACGAAACAAAGCTACTTTAGGTTTTTGTTGTATTAAAATGACAGTAATAAATTAGCAAACAATGTATTAAAATGAATAGTGTGCTGATACAGTATAATAAGTCTTAATTTGTCAAAACAACCAACCACATGTCCTTTTTGATACATCTCATACAGGTGTACCTTACCTGTAGAATGCCAGTTGTAGAGCCACCTGTATGTATGCATCTGGGCTCATCTTCTGTTTCTTGATGAATTCTTTTCCATAGACCTCAAACTTGTGCACATCCATGTCCAGATCTCTAACCAGCCTGAGGAATAGAAAACATTGATAAATATAAAACAACGTTTTGATTCAAAATGCAGTGGTTATTGTGGTGAGGGGGTAAGATTAAGGGTGTCTGTGTGTGTGTGTGTGTGTATGTGTGTGTGTGTGTGTGTGTGTGCTTCCATGCATGTGTGTGTCTTACCTCTGTAGTCTCTCAGCAGAGGCCTTCAGGAGGCCATTGGTGTGGGGTGTGGTCTTCCAGAGCAGTCTGGCAGGAGTAGGAAGTTCCAACATGCTGGTGGCCCTCCCCATCTTGGAGGGACTTCCAGTCCTGTGGAGAGAGCACATCGCATGACTTCCTTAGAATCATGTATTATTATTTAGAATCATTTATTATTAATCAACAGCGTGCTGCTTTATGACAGACCTCAAATAATACATTCGCTGTAAATGTGAAAGATCTGATTTAAGATTTAATGTCATAAACTGGCTGTTAACTATATTGCACAGAACCCACAATAGAACCTTGGGGGATACCAGTTTGTCAACTCCACATAGATTTACCACCATATGGATGCATTCATGTTTGGTTCCTTTGCTTACATAAATTTCATCAGGTATTCAGTACACGCCACCAGAACGATCCCCTCGAAGGGTGAGTGCTCGCACACCGTTCCGCAGACTCCGTCCTCCCCTACAACAAACTGAAATAGAGAAGGGTTACACATCCTGCATGTAACCTTCTACATTTCTTTCTATTCCATTGCATGGGCTCAGGGCCTGTATTTATAAAGCATCTTGGAGTAGGAGTGCGGAGCTAGGATCAGGTCAATCCCGTCCATATTATCTTCTTCTGTATTGTCTTCTGTAAAAGGCAAAACTGATCCTAGATCAGCACTCGTATTCTGAGACACTTTATGAATACGGGCCGAGGGTCGTAGTGCCATTGGCATGGCCCTACCTGCATTGGCTTGTCATACCAGCGGTTCGCCCCCATCTTCTCATGGCCTCCTCCATGGAGCATCAGCAGGGCTCGGCTGGTATCCCCAACCTCCATCCCACTGGGGTCGTCCAGACACACCACACACAGACACTTCTCGATCACAGCCAACGACTCTCTGTTTACTGAATCTGAGTGAGGGAGGGATGGAAGGAAGGAAGGAAGGAAGGAAGGAAGGAAGGAAGGAAGGAAGGAAGGAAGGAAGGAAGGAAGGAAGGAAGGAAGGAAGGAAGGAAGGAAGGAAGGAAGGAAGGAAGGAAGGAAGGAAGGAAGGAAGGAGACTAGGTCAGTTTATGCAAATAGATGTGTTTTCATAGTCTTGCCATGATTTATTTCAAGTTATTACTATGATGATATTATTACTTGATATTTGTGTTATTATTATAGTTATGATATAATGTAGACTGAAAGATGTCTGAAGTGAAACCTTTGATGAGCACGTCTCTAGCTTGGGCCCATTCTGTTCTTCCATCAGACGTCAGCAGACCAAACGGAGGCTGTCTCTCCTCTGAGTTCTCCGCCATCTTCACTATCTTCTCCAACTGGGTTAAGATGTCCATTTCTTTCAGCTTTTTCTTGTTTACCACTAGGTCCAACACAAAGAACTGAGAAGAGGAAAAACAACATTTTTAGGATTTATTTTATTGTCTCCGAGGGGAAATTTGTCATGAACATTAAATTGTGTTCGAATATTTACAGGTTAAAACATACATCTGATTTGATGTGGTTTATTATAGGACCTCATAATAGATGACTGGTATTACAAAATCTTAAAGCCTTTCCTCCAAGGAGCAATTAAATGTAGCAACGTATCACTCAAACAGATACATTGGTTCAATAGGCTGTTAGAAAATAAAACCTGCTAATGAAAACACATCAGTCATTAGAACCCAATAGCCCTTGTTGGTTAACGAAGGTCAAGTCAGAGAGGAAGAGGTTAACGAAACACTGCACCACCTGCTGTGCATCGGTCCATACTGTAGCTGGCTAACTAAAGTCCTGCTGTGCATCGGTCCATACTGTAGCTGGCTAACTAAAGTCCTGCTGTGCATCGGTCCATACTGTAGCTGGCTAACTAAAGTCCTGCTGTGCATCGGTCCATACTGTAGCTGGCTAACTAAAGTCCTGCTGTGCATCGGTCCATACTGTAGCTGGCTAACTAAAGTCCTGCTGTACATCGGTCCATACTGTAGCTGGCTAACTAAAGTCCTGCTGTGCATCGGTCCATACTGTAGCTGGCTAACTAAAGTCCTGCTGTACATCGGTCCATACTGTAGCTGGCTAACTAAAGTCCTGCTGTGCATCGGTCCATACTGTAGCTGGCTAACTAAAGTCCTGCTGTGCATCGGTCCATACTGTAGCTGGCTAACTAAAGTCCTGCTGTGCATCGGTCCATACTGTAGCTGGCTAACTAAAGTCCTGCTGTGCATCGGTCCATACTGTAGCTGGCTAACTAAAGTCCTGCTGTACATCGGTCCATACTGTAGCTGGCTAACTAAAGTCCTGCTGTGCATCGGTCCATACTGTAGCTGGCTAACAAAAGTCCTGCTGTGCATCGGTCCATACTGTAGCTGGCTAACTAAAGTCCTGCTGTGCATCGGTCCATACTGTAGCTGGCTAACTAAAGTCCTGCTGTGCATCGGTCCATACTGTAGCTGGCTAACTAAAGTCCTGCTGTGCATCGGTCCATACGGTAGCTGGCTAACTAAAGTCCTATGGGTCCTGGTCAAAAGTATTGCATTACATAGGGAATAAAGTGGCATTTGGGACGCAGCCTGAAAATATGAATCCTGTGCCGCGATCAATTGTCCATGTGACTCAAGGAGGCTCTCAGACAAAATGGCAGATTCAATCAGTAATTTAGTTTAATCTTCTGTTTCTCCACAGGGATGGCTTCTTAATATGTGCCACTGATTGATAGTTCCTGAAACCATCTCCAGGTATGGAAGGGACTCTCTCTTCCTCCGCCTCACTTTCAGCCTTTTCGTGTGATGTGAGTGAGATAATTGTAAAATGTAACTCTCGGCCTCCCGCCCTCATAGTCACGATTACTTTGACGGTCTTCACATTGTTTATTGTTTATTTTGACGTTTCTGACGTTTTCCGTATATGAACTTTGAACCATGTCATATATGATATACAGTGCCTTCAGAAAGTATTCAGACCCCTTGACTTTTTCCAAATTTCGTTACGTTACAGCCTTATTCTAAAATGTATTAAATCAATAAAGATCCTCAGCAATTTACACACAATACCCTATAATTACAAAGCGAAAACAGGTTTTTAGAAATGTTTGCTAATTTATATACAAATAAAAACAGAAATTACTTATTTACATAAGTATTCAGATCCTTTGCTATGAGACTTGAAATTGAGCTCAGGTGCATCCTGTTTCCATTGCTCATCCTTGAGATGTTTCTACAACTTGATTGGAGTCCACCTGTGGTAAATTCAATTGATTGGACATGATTTGTATGCACACATGACTGTAAGTCGCTTTGGATAAAAGCGTCTGCTAAATGGCATATTATATTATTTGGAAAGGCACACGCCTGTCTATATAAGGTCCCACAGTTGACAGTGCATGTAAGAGCAAAAATCAAGCCATGAGGTCGAAGGAATTGTCAGTAGAGCTCCGAGACAGGATTGTGTCGAGACACAGATCTAGGGAAGGGTACCAACATCTTTCTGCAGCATTGAAGGTCCCCAAGAACACAGTGGCCTCCATCATTCTTAAATGGAAGAAGTTTGGAACCACCAATACTCTTCCTAGAGCTGGCCGCCCGCTTGGAGTTTGCCAAAAGGCACCCAAAGTATTCTCAGACCATGAGAAATAAGATTCTCTGGTCTGATGAAACCAAGATTGAACTCTTTGGCCTGAATGCCAAGTGTCACATCTGGAGGAAACCAGGCACCATCCCTACTGTGAAGCATGGTGGTGGCAGCATCATGCTGTGGGGATGTTTTTCAGCGGCAGGAACTGGGAGACTAGTCAGGATTTTGGCAAAGATGAATGGAGCAAAGTACAGAGAGATCCTTGATGAAAACCTGCCCCAGAGCGCTCAGGACCTCAGACTGGGGCGAAGGTTCACCTTCCAACAGGACAACGACCCTAAGCACACAGCCAAGACAACGCAGGAGTGGCTTCGGGACAAATCTCTGAATGCTCTTGAAGGGCCCATCCAGAGCCCGGACTTGAACCCGATTGAACATCTCTGGAGAGACCTGAAAATAGCTGTGCAGCAACGCTCCCCATCCAACCTGACAGAGCTTGAGAGGATCTGCAGAGAAGAATGGGAGAAACTCCCCAAATACAGTTTTGTCAAGCTTGTACAGTGGCTTGCGAAATTATTCACCCTCCTTGGCATTTTTCCTATTTTGTTGCCTTACAACCTGGAATTAAAATAGATTTTTGGGGGGTTTGTATCATCTGATTTACACAACATGCCTACCACTTTGAAGATGCAAAATATTGTTTATTGTGAAACAAACAAGAAATAAGACAAAAAAACTAAAAACTTGAGCATGCATAACTATTCACCCTCCCAAAGTCAAAACTTTGTAGAGCCACCTTTTGCAGCAATTACAGCTGCAAGTCTCTTGGGGTATGTCTCTATAAGCTTGGCACATCTAGCCATTGGGATTTTTGCACATTCTTCAAGGCAAAACTACTCCAGCTCATTCAAGTTGGATCGGTACTGCTGGTGTACAGCAATCTTTAAGTCATACCACAGATTCTCAATTGGATTGAGGTCTGGGCTTTGACTAGGCCATTTCAAGACATTTAAATGTTTCCCCTTAAACCACTCGAGTGTTGCTTTAGCGGTATGCTTAGGGTCATTGTCATGCTGGAAGATTGAAACAGGTTTCCCTCAAGAATTTCCCTGTTTTTAGCGCCATCCATCATTCCTTCAATTCTGAACAGTTTCCCAGTCCCTGCCGATGAAAAACATCTCCACAGCATGATGCTGCCACCACCATGCTTCACTGTGGGGATGGTGTTCTCGGGGTGATGAGAGGTGTTGGGTTTGCGCCAGACATAGCGTTTTCCTTGATGACCAGAGTACCTTCTTCCATATGTTTGGGGAGTCTCCCACATGCCTTTTTTTCTGGCCACTCTTCCGTAAAGCCCAGCTCTGTGGAGTGTACGGCTTAAAGTGGTCCTATGGACAGATGCTCCAATCTCCGCTGTGGAGCTTTGCAGCTCCTTCAGGGTTATCTTTGGTCTCTTTGTTGCCTCTCTGATTAATGCCCTCCTTGCCTGGTCCATGAGTTTTGGTGGGCGGCCCTCTCTTGGCAGGTTTGTTGTGGTGCCATATTCTTTCAAATTTTTTTATAATGGTTTTAATGGTGCTCTGTGGGATGTTCAAAGTTTCTGATATTTTTTTTATAACCCAACCCTGATCTGTACTTCTCCACAACTTTGTCCCTGACCTGTTTGGAGAGCTCCTTGGTCTTCATGGTGCCGCTTGCTTGGTGGTGCCCGTTGCTTAGTGGTGTTGCAGACTCTGGGGCCTTTCAGAACATGTGTATATATACTGAGATCATGTGACAGATCATGTGACACTTAGATTGCACACAGGTGGACTTTATTTAACTAATTATGTGACTTCTGAAGGTAATTGGTCCCACCAGATCTTATTTAGGGGCTTCATAGCAAAGGGGGTGAATACATATGCACGCACCACTTTTCTGTTATTTATTCTTTCGAATTTTTTGAAACAAGTTATTTTTTTCATTTCACTCATTTCACATTTCACTATTTTGTGTATGTCCATTACATGAAATCCAAATAAAAATCCATTTAAATTACAGGTTGTAATGCAATAAAATAGGAAAAACACCAAGGGGGATGAATACTTTTACAAGGCACTGTAGCAAACTATCACGGATTACAAAGGGAAACCCAGCCGCGAGCTGCCTAGTGACGCAAGCCTACCAGACAAACTAAATTCCTTGTATGCTTGCTTCGAGGCAAGCAACACTGAACCATGCATGAGAGCACCAGCTGTTCCAGATGACTGTGTGATCACACTCTCCGTAGCCGATGTGAGTAAGACCTTTAAACAGGTTAAAATTCACAAGGCCACAGAGTAAGACGGAATACCAGAACGCGTACTCAGAGCACACGCTGACCAGCTGGCAAATGCCTTCACTGACCCAGTCTCTAATACCTACATGTTTCAAGCAGACCACCATAGTCCCTGTGCCCAAGAATGCCAAGATAACCTGTCTAAATGACTGTCGCCCGTAGCACTCACCTCTGTAGCCATGAAATGCTTTGAAAGGCTGGTCATGGCTCATCCCAGACACCCTCCCACTCCAATTCGCATACCGCCCCAACAGATCCACAGATGACGCAATCTCTATTGCACTCCACAAGAGGAACACCTATGTGAGAATGCTGTTCATTGACTACAGCTCAGCGTTCAACACCATAGTGCCATCCAAACGTATCGCTAAGCTAAGACCCTGGGACTGAACATCTCCTTCTGCAACTGGATCCTGGACTTTCTGACGGGCCGCCCCAAGGTGGTGAGGGTAGGCAACAACACGTCCGCCATGCTGACCCTCAACACGGGGGCCCCCCAGGGATGCGTGTTTAGTACCCTCCTGTACTCCCTGCTCACCCATGACTGCATGGTCGCGCACAACTCTACCACCCATCATTAAGTTTGGCAAAGACACAACGTGGTAGGCCTGATCACCGATGACGATGAGACAGCCTATAGGGAGGAGGTCAAAGATCTGGCAGTGTGGTGCCAGAACAACACGCTCCCTCAACGTCAGCAAGACAAAGGAGCTGATCGTGGACGACAGGAAATAGAGGGCAGAGAACGCCCCCATTCACATCGACAGGGCTGTAGTAGAGCGGGTCGAGAGCTTCAAGTTCCTCTGTGTCCACATCACTAAGGATCTATCATGGTCCACACACACCAACACAGTCGTTAACAAGGCACGACAATGCCTCTTCCTCCTTAGGAGGCTGAAAAGTTTTGTCATGGGCCCTCAGATCCTCAAAACGCTATACAGCTGCAGCATTAAGAGCATCTTGACTGGCTGCATCACCGCTTGGTATGGCAACTGCTTGGCATCCGACCGCAAGGCGCTAGAGAGGGTAGTGCGTACAGCCCAGTACATCAATGGGGCCGAGCTCCCTGCCATCCAGGACCTATATACCAGGCGGTGTCAGAGGAAGGCCCTAAAAATTGTCAAAAACTCCAACCACCCAAGTCATAGACTGTTCTCTCTGCTACCGCACGGCAAGCGGTACCGATGCACCAAGTCTGGTCCGCAAAAACGGGAAGCATAGAAATAGTGCACATAGAACAGATCTACCGCTTCTTAGACTTGCTTTCAATGACATTGACAGATCTATAACTCACATGTTTATGTGAATTTCTTTTGGTCGCCCAGAAGGTATATTGCAGCTTTAAATAGTTAACTAAATAGCTTCCAGGACTATCTGCATTGACCCTTTTTGCACTAAATTTTTTGACTCATCACATACGCTGCTGCTATTCTTTATTATCTGTCACTATATCCCTACCTATATGTACATATCTACCTCAATTACCTCGTATCCCTGCACATGGACTCAGTACTGGTACCCCGTGTATATAGCCAAGTTACAGTTACTCATTATGTATTTATTAATACTTTTATTATTTATTATTATTTATTATTACGTGTTTTACTTTTCTATTATTTCTCTATTTTATTTTCTCTCTGCATTGTTGGGAAGGGCCTGTAAGGAAGCATTTCACTGTTAGTCCACACCTGTTGTTTACGAAGCATGTGACAAAGAAAATTTACTTTAAATTTCAATTGCGCCGCTACTGATTGAATCGAGCCCTTAGTCTCTCTCTGACCTGGTTCTTGCATGCCACGATGATATGCTCCTGCTCAGTCGACCCAGTCTTGTGGATGATGAGGGTGTCCCTCTTGTGGCCGGGCAGACGGTATGTGTTGAAGAGACGGTAGTACTGCTTCATACACAGAGGGGTCCCAGCCAGCTGGCCCCGAGCAAAGTCCACAGGCAACGACCGCCTGTCAAACCCCAAGGCCCAGGAGACACACAGACGCAGAGACTCAGACAACCCTCAGCTGCTCTGGAGAGGACATTTATATTCTACATGGTATGTGTACTCTGTTTCTGTATAAATAAATAAATAAATACTTGTTTGTTTAATTTTCTAGATGAGGTCTGTATACTCTGTTTGTATGTGTTATTTATGTTTATGATAAATAGTCCACCGGCAATGCCCGCCTGTCAGGCAGCAGGCCAGGAAACACACAGAGACACAGAGGCATGGGACCTCAGACAACCTCAGCTGCTCTACAGGGGCGTTTTATCCACTTATATTCTAGATCCTTCAAACTCAACTCTGGACCTCGAAGCCAGTTCCACTGCATTTTTTCATTGCTCTCTTCTAATCGGGGACTGATTTAGACCTGGGACACCAGGTGTGTGCAATTAGTTATTAGGTAGAACAGAAAACCAGCAGGCTCTGGACCTCATAGTGTAAGAGTTGAATACCCCTGTTGTAGATTGTCTGCATATTCTGTTTATAGATAAAAGTGTTATTTTCCCCCTTTATATTCTAGAATATAGATGATCTTTATACTCTCCTTCTACAGTATAGAAAAGAATAGAAGCGTTATAAGGTGGACATACTGTATTTAAGGGCACTCACGTGTCAATATGTTCCTTGTACTCCAGAACTCCTGTGATGAGGTGAGCAGCGAATCTGAGAGGATGGAGAATAGAAAGACTGATTCAGCACACAGCACACAACACACAACACACAACACACAGCACACAGCACACAGCACACAGCACACAGCACACAACACACAACATCACACAGCACACAGCACACAGCACACAACACACAACACACAACACACAACACACAGCACACAACACACATCACACAGCACACAGCACACACAGCACACAACCACACCCACATCACCAGCACACACAACAGCACACGAGCACACAACCCACACACACATCATCCAAGCACACAGCACATCAACACTCAACCCACATCACACAGCACACAGCACACAACACATACCGCCACACAACACACAGCACCCCGCACACAGCACACATCACACAAACACACACAACACCCCGCACACAGCACACAACCCACAGCACACAGCACACAACACAGCACACACACACACAGCACGACACAACACACAGCCACAGCACACAGCACACAGCACAACACACGCAACACAGCACCCACACACAACACAACAAGCACACAGCACACAGCACACAGCACACAACACACAGCACACAACACACAGCACACAGCACACAGCACACAACATCATTAAGACTGGCACAATACCAAGTGTACATGTAACAGTAGAGTCATTTAATTACATCCATTATTGAAATATACTCTTCAATTTACAATATACAATACACTCTAACAATATACTCTACAATATACTCTACACTATACTATACAATATACTATACACTATACTCTACAGTATACTCTACAGTATACTCTACAGTATACTCTACACTATACTCTACACTATACTCTACAATATACTCTACACTTTACTCTACACTATACTCTACAATACACTCTACAATATACTCTACAATATACTCTACAATATACTCTACACTATACTCTACAATATACTCTACACTATACTCTACAATATACTCTACACTATATGCTACAATATACTCTACAATATACTCTACAATATACTCTACAATATACTCTTCTTCATACACTTTTTTCCATATATATACAGTATATGTATTACTGAATTGTAACTATATAATTGTTCTGCATGTGGATATTTAATCATCCACATTCCTCATTTAAATATCCACATGTACTGATTGACAAACAGTTATAGGCTGTTACTTTAAAAAGTATGTTTGTCCATCTGCATCTGCTCATGATGCTTCAAACGCACGCAAGACACACCACAGCCCCCTCCCACATCTCTCATTGGAGAGCTATAATCACATTTCTTCTAGATTACAGGGCTATGCTGTGTCTGTGTGTGTGTGTGTGTGTGTGTGTGTGTGTGTGTGTGTGTGTGTGTGTGTGTGTGTGTGTGTGTGTGTGTGTGTGTGTGTGTGTGTGTGTGTGTGTGTGCGCGCGCGTGCGTGTGTGTGCGTGCGTGTGTGTGCGTGTGTGGATGTTTGTGTGCGCGTGCGTGTGTGTGTGCGTGTGTGTGTGTGCGTGTGTGTGTGTATGTGTGTGTGCGTGTGTGTGTGTGTGTGTGCGTGCGTGCCTGTGTGTGTGTGTGTGTGCGTGTGTGCGTGCGTGCGTGTGTGGATGTGTGTGTGTGCATGTGTACGTGTGTGTATGTGCATAGTGGGCGGTGTGTGTATCTAGATAGGGAGTAAAACACAGCGCCACGTCAGCCCTGGTGTTTTCTGTCATTTGTCTCAGTGTTAATGTGTTCAAACCCCAGATCAATATACAAAGTGGGCTACACCACAAACATACACACACACACGCACAAACACACATACAGATACTTACACACATTCACCACCACACCCCTGTATGGAGGCTGTGGATGGGGAGGAGGAGGGCAGCCAGCTAGGCAGGCCACCAGTCTCAGCGGACTGCTTGGATCTGTCACTCCCAATCTAATAAGAGTCTCTGTCGGTCTATTAGGAGGCTGTTCTGGAGGTCCTGGGAGTTTTCACTTAGCTCACTGGGAGCTGACAAAAGCTAATGTTGAGTAACAGTACACAGTCTGGATCTGGATGGTCTTGTGTGTTTGTGTGTGTGTTTGTGAGTGTGTGTGTGTGCGTGTATGTGTGTGTATGTGCGCGTGTGTGTGTGTGTGTGTGTGTGTGTGTGTGTGTGTGTGTTGTCTGTCAGGCGGGCAGACCACAGCTCATTTAATAAGCAGCAGAGAAGTAGAGAAGAGATGATGCAGACTGGCTACTGATACTCTCCATGTACTGCAGCTTGTAAATCTGGTTTGGTTTATACCTGCTGAAAACATTGTTGTAAAATCTGGTTTGGTTTATGCCTGCTGAAAACATTGTTGTAAATCTGGTTTGGTTTATACCTGCTGAAAACATTGTTGTAAAATCTGGTTTGGTTTATGCCTGCTGAAAACATTGTTGTAAAATCTGGTTTGGTTTATGCCTGCTGAAAACATTGTTGTAAATCTGGTTTGGTTTATACCTGCTGAAAACATTGTTGTAAAATCTGGTTTGGTTTATGCCTGCTGAAAACATTGTTGTAAATCTGGTTTGGTTTATGCCTGCTGAAAACATTGTTGTAAATCTGGTTTGGTTTATGCCTGCTGAAAACATTGTTGTAAATCTGGTTTGGTTTATGCCTGCTGAAAACATTGTTGTAAATCTGGTTTGGTTTATGCCTGCTGAAAGCATTGTTGTAAATCTGGTTTGGTTTATGCCTGCTGAAAACATTGTTGTAAATCTGGTTTGGTTTATGCCTGCTGAAAACATTGTTGTAAAATCTGGTTTAGTTTATGCCTGATGAAAACATTGTTGTAAATCTGGTTTGATTTATGCCCGCTGAAAACATTGTTGTAAATCTGGTTTGGTTTATGCCTGCTGAAAACATTGTTGTAAATCCGGTTTGGTTTATGCCTGCTGAAAATATTGTTGTAAATCTGGTTTGGTTTATGCCTGCTGAAAACATTGTTGTAAATCTGGTTTGGTTTATGCCTGCTGAAAATATTGTTGTAAATCTCTCACCAAGTGTGGTTTACAGTACAGGACAGGAAGCATAACAACCATGTATTGCAGTGCACCAGCACCATTGTATGTGGCAGTATAATACAATACTGTACTCTGTATATTGTATTTACCATTATATAGTTGGACAGTTTCTAGTTGTATAGGGATTCAGGATGAGAAAATTTGAAAATGCGAAATAAGTAACTATCTAAATAAGTAACTACATAGTTCAATGTACATAGTCTCTCGTTAGAGTAGCTGAATTTGGTTTTCGGTGCCAAGATTCATATGTACATTACTTCATCTTTTCAAGTGTAATTCAACTGGTTATCAGTCAACCAGCACTAATCTGATTGAGAAAATGACTGCATCAGCCCCTCAATGAATGAAGCATTGCTGTTTAGTTCTTATTTCACACTGAGAAAGTTAGTCTTTTCACATACCTGAGGGAGTCTTTCACATACCTGAGGGAGTCTTTCACATACCTGAGGGAGTCTTTCACATACCTGAGGGAGTCTTTCACATACCCGAGGGAGTCTTTCACATACCTGAGGGAGTCTTTGCGATCTCTAAAGTTTTGTTTTGGGAAGACCATGGCAGGATTGGAGTTGACTGGTAGGGCCAATCTCTGATTCAAATACATGTCTTCTAGCCAGTAGTCATAAACCTGAGAGAGAGAGTGAGAGAGAGAGAGAGAGAGAGAGAGAGAGGAGAGAGAGAGAGAGAGAGGAGAGAGAGAAGAGAGAGAGAGAGAGTAGAGAAGATGAGAGAGAGAGAGAGAGAGAGAGATAGAGAGAGAGAGAGAGGAGCGAGAGAGCATAGAGAGAGAGAGATGAGCGCAGAGAGAAGCGAGAGAGAGATCTGATAAGATAGATGAGGAGAGATAGAGGGAGATGAGAGAGATGAGAGAGAGAGAGAGAGAGAACAGACACTCCACTTTGTCCATCCATGTTGGCAAGGTGCCAACAACTTCTCCTGCATGTTTTTAAACTGTGGCTTCGTTGAACAGGCTTCAAACACAATACTGAAAACGTGTTCTTAGAAGGCAATCTCATGGGCATCAGTGTGAGAAGCCATCAATATCATGAGGGCACTGTGTATCATAGCAAGATGGAGAGGAGGGGAGGGGAGGAGGGGAGAGGCTGCAGCAGGAGGAGTGGGAGTTTGATAGATAACAGAGAGAAAGAGAGGACAAAAGGACTAGAGGAGGAGAGGAGGAGAGAGGCTGTGGCGGAGGAGTGGGAGTTTGATAGATATCAGAAAGCTACTTTAATTCAGGACTGACTGATCATCTAAGTGGCCAGTGATGGATCGGTCCTGCAGACACCAAGTGGCAGATCTGATAGATCTATGGCTACAGCTTTAGTTCTTTCCTCCTTCCGTTGCCAGCTGTTATTGATGGTCCAAGTATATTGGGCCATTTATGGAGTTGATAGTGTCTTCGATCACAGTGTGGAGACTCTACAGTCTTTATGGACAGGTCTCCAATGGGTTATCAAAGGAGATTGTTTAGCTTTCCATTATCGACACACTCCTGATGTATCACACCTTTAGGTCATGTTTACTTCTACTTGTGGTCTACAATGTATCACCCTTAAGTGATGTCGAAGTATACTGTACACTCTTAGAAAAAAGGGTTCCAAAAGGGTTATTTGGCTGTCCCCATAGGAAAACACTTTTTGGTTCCAGGTAAAACACATTTTGGTTCCATGTAGAACCCTTTTGGGTTCCATGTAGAACACTCAGTAGAAAGGGTTCTACAGTGCCTTCAGAAAGAATTCATACCCCTTGACTTATTCCACATTTTGTTGTGTTACAGCCTGAATTCCAAATGGATTACATTGATTTTTTTCTAACGACAAAGTGAAAACATGTTTTTTGAAATTTTAGCAAATGTATAGAAAATGAAATACAGAAATATCTAATTTACATACGTATTCACACTCCTGAGTCAATACTTTGTAGAAGCACCTTTGACAGTGGATTTCACCATGAGGCCAATGGTGACTTTAAAACAGTTACAGAGTTTAATGGCTGTGATAGGAGACAACTGAGGATGGATCAACAACATTGTAGTTACTCCACAATACTAACCTAATTGACAGAGTGAAAAGAAGGAAGCCTGTAGAGAATAAAATATTCCAAAACATGCATCCTGTTTGCAACAAGGCACGAAAGTAATACTGAAAAAAATGTGGCAAAGCAATTCACTTTTTGTCCTGAATACAAAGTGTTATGTTTGGGGCAAATCTAATACAACACATTACTGAGTACCACTCTCCATATTTTCAAGCAAAGTGGTGGCTGCATCATGTTATGGGTATGTTTGTAGTCATTAAGGACTGGGGAGTTTTTCAGGATAAAAAATAAACTGAATGGAGCTAAGCAAAGGCAAAATCCTAGAGGAAAACCTGGTTCAGTCTGCTTTCCACCAGATTATTTCACTTTTCAGCAGGATAATACCCTAAAACAAGGCCAAATCTACACCAGAGTTGCTTACCAAGAAGACAGTGAATGTTCCTGAGTGGCCGAGTTACATTTTTTACTTCTACTGAAAATAATAAATTGGCAAATGTTGCACAATCCAGGTGTGGAAAGCTCTTAGAGACTTACCCAGAAAGACTCACAGCTGTTATCCTGAGTGGTTTCCTTCCTCTTCGGCAACTGAGTTAGGAAGGACGACTGTATTGTTGTAGTGACTGGGTGTATTGATACACCATCCAAAGTGTAATACATTGTCTGCATTTTTTTCTTCTTTTTTTTACCCGTCTCTGCGAGGCATTGTAAAACCTCCCTGGTCTTTGTGGTTGAATCTGTGTTTTAAATTCACTGCTCGACTGAGGGACATTACAGATAATTGTATGTGTGGGGAACAGAGATGAGGTAGACATTCAAACATCATGTTAAACACTATTATTGTCCTGCAACTTATTATGTGACTTTTTAAGCAAATCTTCACTCCTGAACTTATTTAGGCTTGCCATAGCAAAGGGGTTGAATACTTATTGACTCAAGACATTTCAGAATTTTCATTTTTAATTAATTTGGAAACATTTGGAAAAACATAATTCCACTTTGACATTATGGGGTATTGTGTATAGGTTAGTGACATAAAATCTAAATCAATGTTCAATTCAGCCTGTAACATAACAAAATGTGGAAAAAGTCAAGGGATGTGAATACTTTCTTTAGGCACTGTACATGGAACCCAAAAGGGTTCTACCTGGAACCAAAAGGGTACTATCTGCAACCAAAACATTATAGATAGCACCTTTATTCTAAGAGTGTAGAAGTATAAGGGTATGCTACTTTGCATGCTTTACACATGTGGGAGCTAAAAGGTAAACCGGCATCCCATCCCACACCAAGTCTGACTTCTGTTTCAAAAACAATAGAAACCTAACAAGGATCACACTCCCATAGTGGTTAACAGAATGTATTTGAATGTTTACAGTTACTAGAGGGTCTTGTCTGCCTCCCAAATGACACCTTATTCCCTACAGTGCACACTACCTTTGACCAGAGCCCTTGCACTATATAGGCAATAGGGTACCATTTGGGACACAATGTTTGTCTGAGTGAGGGAGGGAGGGAGGGAGTTTACCCAGTGAGAGAGGGAGGGAGTTTACCCAGTTGTATGTCTTGTCGCTCCTCTCCAGTAGTTTCTTCTGCAGCAGCTCTCCAGTGCCGCCTGGCTCTCCAAACTTCTCCACGATGGCTTTAGTCTTCCGATATTGTTCCTCCTTCACCAGGTGTTTCATACAGCTCAGGTACATGTCCAGGGTCTGCTTCAGTGGTGGGACAGGCACCTTGGACAGGACCTAACGTTGTGGAGATCAATCAATCAATCAGTCCCTCTGTAATGGTTGGATTGGGATAAATATTGACTCATTGAGGCTGCACCCAAAAGGACAAAATGTGTTAATCATTATAAGGAAGCTGTTTTCCAGCCTGTAGGCATTTATTCATTCGTCTGAGCATTAAAATCCCTAATTTGCTTCCTGAAGTTTCTCTTTAAAGCTTGTATTCTTAGAACCTGAGTGAATTATTCATTCGAACTGCTTGAAGCCAAGTTGAGAATGAATTTTACAGCGCCCTGTGGGATACGAAAATGATCCTTTTGATCGAAACAGCTATGGTTATTTTATATTTAGTAAAATGCTAATGAAAAGTACTGTATACGGAGTAGGAGTAAGTGTGTTGAGTGTTGACTAATTATTTGTCACAATTTGGCCTGATATGTTTTAATCCATTCTGTCATTCTGGCCAGTGTAACTTGTGAGAATGGTGCCAAATAAGGGTTATTTGGCTTGTAACCACAGTGGAACCCTTTTAGGTGCTATATGGAACCTTTTTTTGAAGGTTCTACAAAGAACCATGCTCATAAAGTTCTAAATGGAACCTGTATGGTGTTATCAAGAACCCTTTTCTAAGGTTCTATAAAAATCCATTAAAAAAAGGTTCTATATAGCACCTAATAAGGGTTCCGCTCTGGTTACAACCCTTTTTGGGGCTATATGGAACCATTTTCTACGGTTCTTTATATAACCTTTATGGAGAATGGCTCTCTAAATAATTTGTTCAATCTCAAAGGTTCTATGTAGAACCATACAGTATAGTCATACGTAACATTAATAGCAAAACACAACAGATTAGATAAACTGGAGTGACACTTTCATTCACAGTTGCACAAAAAGAGCTGTGTGCAAACCACGCCCCAAAATATTCTAATGAACCGCCGCCCCTACGTTTTATTTATTACTAAAATAGGAAAGAACCCTTTTCTGAACTGCAAAGAACCATTGAAGGGCTCAAAGGGATTATTTGGGTCAGTATGGTTCCACATAGAAACATCACCGTTCCCAAAGGACCCTTGAGGAACCCTAATTGATTAGTGTGTAAATCAAATGTGAAACAGGTATGATTGAATGCATAGGTTGGCGATATTTTACCCTGGAATTAGCCCCAAGCGAATGGCCACTCTTGGGGGAGATCAATTCGAATCGTATCGTTCTGAGTTCAATTGTATTTAATTAATTGATCTCCAGTGGACAATTGAAGTGTCACACCACGGGCTTGTGCTTCGTTCATATTCGCCGTAACCTAAACCAATGGTGCTGTGTAAATTCTAGTAGCATATAGTTAAGTGCTCTGGCAACAGAAACGTGAATTGTAGAGAGACGTTTGACTTCCCGGATTACTTCTCGGTATTGTTTACAATTTGCAGAATGTGTGTATCTTCCTACAAAAAAGCTTCGATAAATTTGCTTTTACATGATAAAAGTTTAGACTTTAGAGAACTAGAATTTGGCCGCAAGTATCACGGCTTCCAGAGCTCTGTTTTAGATCATACATTTGCATTATATCAAGTCTGAGAGTGTATTTTAATTCCCCGGTTTTGATCATACCAGTGTAATAAAAGCCTTCCAATTCTCTCGTTTTTCCCCTAGCGGTCAGTACAAGGACACAGCAGAAACATTCGCGTTTCAGCACCTATGTTTTTTTCAGTCCCATGGACAGCGCCTGTCTCTGTCACATTTGCAATGGCTTTCAAGCTTGTTGCTGCATACTTTTTCTATTGATAGTCAGTGCGTTGGTTCTGCAATACACTTATGAAAATCCCTTCTCAATACAATTTGTTTAGAAATAGAACAAGTAAGAAGCAAATTTGTAACAATAAATACATACTTTGGAAAACAATTTAGGTTACAAAAAGGACTGTGGTAAATGTCAAGGTAAGAAACGAATTCCATAATCACCAACGCTACTTTGTCAGTCACAAGCAACAATGTGATAAAACAGCAACAATGTGAACTGAGTGAAATAAGTAAAGCAAGCAACGGGATTCTAGATTCTGCAAATTATCCACCAATAAATGACTATCGATTCAGTTATTGCTACTCACTGTTGCGACTCCCTGAATAACATAGGCCTATTATAATTCACCTTATAGGCAGATAATGCAGACATTCTCATAATATACCCGCATAGATAAAGCAAAGATTTGTTTTAGAAATAGTTGATAGAAAGTTACAGCCAGACACAATCCTTATTAAACAATTCATTACACTCAGTGTTTTAAACAATTATAATGTATCGGCCTACATTATTTACTGTATATAGATTATTAATATATCGATTATATATACATATATACAACGTAAGAGTTTCATACATAGCTTTCCCTGCGGCCTTTCGGCGGCTCTCTCTCCAGGATAGGCATGTTGTTATCCAGCCAGAATCGGTCAGGAGGAATTCAAACTCACAAGAGTTGGTTGAAGTTCAGTCTTCTGCATGAAGCCGGTACATCCAAATCATTCAAAAGAAAGGGAAGGAGTATTACTTTAAAAATCGACTCTGAGGATTGCTGCTTTATAACTGTCACTGTCGAGTTCTATTATAAATTAGATTTAAAAACCAAAATCGTATCACCAGGTGTCGATATGGTATGCATTAGTGTTAAATAGAATATATTATTGTATTCAGCATAGATAGATTATAGATACATAACAACCATCACAATCTTTCCACAAGTATTAATCGAGGAGCTGTTTCCTTCCAAGTCATCCAAACTAAGCAAATAATGCACCTGTTAACTTGCTGAACTAGACATATTTGTGAATAATGAGGATAAGGGAAAAGATTTCCGCTTACCTGAGCAATGGATGCCTTCCTTCACTCCTCGAGAGGTCGAAAAGGTTTGCAACAAGATTACATAGTGTCCCGCGTCCGTACATATAACTCACATGATATAACTAAATCCTTTGACGCGAACGAATGTTCGTTCCCCATTCTGTCTCACTCTCCATGATATCCACTCCTAGCTCACACCCATTGCAAGGCTTTGACTTTTAAAGCGCGCTTGCTTAGTAAAGATGCTCTAGGTGTTTGTCTGTCTCTACCTACCCCGCAGGCAGCAAACTCCTCCCATCGAAATCTATTCGTGGAACATATTATTTGACAGCTTGGCTTGCTTCCCCCCCTGCCCACCTCTGACAAAGTATGAAAATGATATTGAGATAGTAGTAGCTACAATCCGCGTTAGCCGGTATGACTTTATTGTTGAGTTTAGAGTGTGTCAGGGGAAAAACCGGGCTTTTTCTGAGTTTGAGAGCTGAAAATCAACGAATAGCTTGACTACCTACACTTGGTTGTCGAGAGAACAATTTCGTTAGAACCGTTCTCCTTGTGGGGCGTCTGCTGCGAGTTTACACAGCGCAAGTGTCAACTTTCAGAACCATGGACAGCGCTGAGCGCCAGCTAGTTGCACCATGACTTTACGCACCACCAAGTAAACGTTTACATGACGTTATATGAACTAAGTCATTCTTAAATAATGAGAATAACATTCACATGCTCTTGTTTCTCTCTCTCTCTCTCTCTCTCTCTCTCTCTCTCTCTCTCTGCCCCCTCTCACTCACACACCCATAAAACACGCACTCTCTCTCTCTGGCTCTCGTGCGTAATTGCCCTTTTGATTAATTATGTAATCTATAAACCTCACAGTGAAACGATCAGTTGGTTGAAGTATCATATTCAATACCCGCATTTAAAAAGGACAAACTATTCGTTGATTATCTTTACAGTATGGGTTGAATAACAATCCACCCCTGTAACTGTAATTTTCGCACAAATCTCTGACTACAAAGCGTTTACACCAAAATCCAAATTAAGCACAGAAATTGTAATGTTTGTAGCAGAGATTGCTAACTAATGTCTGTAACTAAATTGTTGATTCAATCAGGATCCGTCGGGGTCTTGTGGATTATCTCTTCTCTTCAACATAGGGATTAGGTGTAGGCCTACATAAGGATTTCTATCAACCAGTTTATTTGGTAACATTGCTAGCTAGCTACCATTACGCACCTAATCAAACGCCCTTCGTTTGATTCAGAACTGAATAACAAGTATGATTTAAAGATTATTTTATCATCTCACTATAAATAAATATGACATACACAAAACACGTTATATTTATATACAATTTTATTATAACTATTATCGATATATTAACATATATGCGCTCAATTTGGGAAGTTGTTAATGAGCTATGACGGATATTCACTTCATTACCTTTTGACAATAAACCGTTTCCAACATACACGCATACATCACGCACACACTCAAATATGCATAGGCCCAAATACAATTTAATCATTTACTATGTAAATATCCACATATGTACAAACGCATTTGATTATAACACACTACATTTTACGAAGAAAAAAAACTACATCACAAAAATAAATGTAAAAAATACAGAGGTCACAATTAGGCAACGTTTCGATATTAGATATGGAAAATAAAAACAAAATAAAAACAAAATACTAATTATAGTCAATATGTCAACGAAATTAAGAAATGCAATCAATGGTTGCCAGTACTAAAAAATAGTTGTTGTTTTTTACACAAAAGGCTAGTTGATGCCTTGGCAGTTGGACGTGTATTTATTATATCAATATAATCTTGTACATACATTTATCTATTTACCTTTTTACAATACTCTGCAGTAGTAATGCACATATAGTCAACTGTATTTGATAGACCTCTCACAATAGTACTCCACTTAGACGACCATAAAAAACAATACATACATAGAAGACTTGTTCAATTACGATGAAATAAAATAAACTTTGGAAACGGGTCACACAATTATGGTTAGGTGATTGGGTATTTCTATGTTGCACATGAGTATATTACAGAGTGAAGTGACTGTCTACGCTCGTTTGACAGGTCCATAAGTCCTAACTCTTAAAACGGAATGTGTCCAAATTCTCGAACTCTCAGAATGTATTCGGGGACGTTCTAAGTTGTACTCCATTCTAGCTGTAGTTCTATGTTGTGATCCAGTATTCTAACTGTAGTCAGAATATTCTAAGTGTACTCTGAGTATTTTAACTGTACTCTGGACCAGAGGATTCCATTGAAGAGGCACGTGTTTGTGCTCTAAACGGGTCGAACCCTCCATTCTCATCCACCACCACAGGCAAGCAGTTCCCTGCCGAACTATAACCCTTCTTCTTGCCTCTCCGCTCCTCCATCTTCATGGTATCATCCAGACCCTCTGGTTCATCATCGTCCACCAACAGGTTATCTCTCTCGGAGTAGGACGGTTTCATTTGGCACACGTTACGGAGCAGCAGAAGGGCCGGTGCGTACAGGACATTGACGAGGCCCATGCCCAGGTTGAGTTGGACAAACCCATAGTTGTGCACTATATTCCCCGCCACGATAGGACCCATGGCATACGCGACAGAATAGGAGATGTCAGCTAAAGCGTAGACGCTGCCGTACACGGACACATGACGCACATCGACCAGAAAGGCAAGTGTTGGCAACAGGGCAGTGTCCACAAGAGCGATGCCGAAACATATGCCACATAACGGGGCGATTAACTGGCCGAATGTTTTGCATGCTGGAACGGTGCACGAGCTGGCCCCGATAATGACCATGCCCAAGGCTCCATAGAACCACTGCAGGTTGGGGTACTTAGAAGCCAGTTTGACGGTCATGTAGACACCCAGAACATGTGGGAAGAAAGCAGGCAGCCAACATAATCCCATTTCCCACTTAGTTGAATGCATGGTGCTCTCCATCCAGTTGGCTATGGTGGGCTCCAGAAAGGCCAGGGGGATATTGCACACTGTTAGGGCACCTGCCACGACAGCTATGTACGGGTCAACCATTAGTTTGTAGATGGGGGTACCCACCGGCATATTGTCTCTAGTCCTGTTCGAGAACGGCTTGATCACGGTCAAGAGCAGAATCCCGTCTATAAGGCAAACCACGGCGAGAACGATAAACGGTACTCTTTTACCCGCAAACTCGTACAGAATACCCCCGAAGGGAGGCGCTACCAGGCTCCCGAAAGAGATGAACGCCAGGGCGATACCGAGGGCTTTACTTCTCTCCGATTCTTCGGTGTATTTATCTGCTATCATGGCAATTCCTGAGGTGTCCGCGAAAGCTGAACCCAGACCTTGCAAACTACGGGCAAAAAACAGCGTCGCGTAGTTCTCAGCGAAAGCAAATATGCATGTGGAGAAGAACATGACCGTTAATCCTATTAGGAGTGGAATGTCGTATCCAACGCGGTCTATGAAAGTTCCTGACAACGGGTTCACCAAAAGCTGCAAGATAGCCTTCGATGCAAAAAGTACTCCTATTTGGACGTCTAAATTGTCCCTGTTGCTTTTAGCTTGGGCTGAGCTCATTGTGCTGTTGATTGAAGAATTGGGATGTATAACTACGTGGATGTGCTCTGCTTGCTCAAGCTCTAAATCAGCAAGGTAGTCGGGAATAATCGGGACTATAACCATATAGAGCATATTGTCTAGAAGAAGAGCCACGCAGACGATCACTAAAATGATCCGTCTTTGATGGTCAGGGGCTTTCATTGCGTTGCCAAACTGTTTCGTTCTTTCTCCCATCTCGGACAGTTTTACAGCGGCTGATTTGGCCAGCCCGGATGACCCCCCTGTATCCATGATGATCTGCTATTATTGTTGTTGTCAATACAAAACGGCAGTTGTTGTTTTCTTTTCCTCTGCTCTCTGCTGCTATTCTGATATCTCAGCAAGACTGATAATACTGTCCCTGTACATTTATGTAGCTGTTTCTTAGTTCACTTACGCGATACGAAAGACAAAGGCGCAGCAGGCTTGGAACTTTTCTCCTTGTGATTTCCTGACCGTGCGCGAGGCTGCTGGCTTCTTCGACGGTGGGTGGTTTTCTCAGCCTCAACTTGGTCTTGTTTCACCCCCCCGCGCTCACATTTGGTGCTGTTTCATGGTCTCGAGAAGTGACGTGGTGAAATATTCTGCTATTCTCTACACGTTGTAGGACTTCAACCGCTAATACTCCATGTCAAGTTTCTATGGAACGTTAGTATAAGTTGTTTATGGAACTTGGGACCCCCTTCGATTCCAATGTTGATGCCTCGAATCACCTGTAGCACGTTTGTGTTCCGTTCTGAGATCACGAATGGTTTCGTTGCCATTGGTACGCATTGATTCGCAGGTTTGTCGATATTTTGAGTTTTTTTTCTTCTCTTTCACAAAGGGCTGTGACGCATCACCAGCTTACCCCCAAGTGGATCCTTTTCCAGTTGCGTCCTTTATGCTAATTCAGAACATGGCAATCCCTTAACCAATAAGAGTGAGCATCATCATGACGTCTCTAGGCCTACACGATCGCGGGAAAACCCTCCCAGCAAGGCACACTGATCGACCCTTGACTTTCTGAAGGGCATAAACGTATATTCTGTAATATTCCAGATGTTTAGGCTCAAGTTATTAGCCTAATATTTAAGTTTTAATGTATCACTGTTTCTTTACAATTCCCTAATCACCATAGATCAATTCCATTGATCAATTCATATGGGCCTATGGCAATATAGAGTCCCTGGAGAATGAAAAACTATATAATTAGGCCTATGGGTGACATTATTAAAACTCGAGTACCATTAGTTTGTGGATTTGGCTTTATTCAAAATGTATGCATTTACCCAGTCTCATTAATCTTTCCAACATGGCGTCATAGGATTCGGTGCCCTGGACGGTTTTCACGGAAGAATACTGTACCAAGTTAGCTTCCTGAATAAACTAAGTTAGTCTATTCCTAGAAAACATTGAACCGCTGTAGTTTACAACAATTATAATTTCTAAAGTGGGGAGAGTTATATTTGAGTGTTTCAGTGAAACGTAAGTGAGGGAGGCCCTGCTCTCTTGCTTTCCCAGATGTTTAGTTCATTTCATTCCGATCTCCTTTGCATTATTGTAGCCATTTTCTGTAGCCTGTCAACTACTCGTCTGTCTATCCCTGTTCTCTCCTCTCCGCACAGGCTATACAAACGCCTCACACCGCGTGGCAGCTGCCACTCTAACCTGGTGGTCCCTGCAAGCACGACCCACGTGGAGTTCCAGGTCTCCAGCAGCCTCTGGAACTGCGGTTCTGCGGACAACAAGGCAGAGTTCATCTCAGCCTATGCTACCCTCCAGTCCCTCAACTTCTTGGCGCTGACGGAAACATGGATTACCACAGAAAACACTGATACTCCTACTGCTCTCTCCTCGTTCTTGCATACCCCGAGAGCATCTGGTCAGCGAGGTGGTGGCACAGGAATCCTCATCTCTCCCAAGTGGACATTCTCTCTTTCTCCCCTGACCCATCTGTCTATCTCCTCATTTGAATTCCATGCTGTCACAGTCACTAGCCCATTCAAGCTTAACATCCTTATCATTTACGCCCTCCAGGTTGCCTTGGAGAGTTCATCAATGAGCTTGACGCCTTGATAAGTTCCTTTCCTGAGGAAATCTAGACTCCCTGCGGACCTGGCATCTTTTCACTCCCTCCTCTCTACATTTTCTTCATCTGTTTCTGCTGCTAAAGCCACTTTCTACCACTCTAAATTCCAAGCATCTGCCACTAACCCTAGGAAGCTCTTTGCCACCTTCTCCTCCCTGCTGAATCCCCCCCCCCCCCCCTCCTCCCTCTCTGTGGATGACTTCGTCAACCATTTCGAAAAGAAGGTTGACGACATCCGATCCTCGTTTGTTAAGTCAAATGACACTGCTGGTCCTGCTCACACTGCCCTACCCTATGCTTTGACTTCTTTCTAAGGAATACCTGGGATAGGATAAAGTAATCCTTCTACCCCCCCCCACAGCGGAGTCACTCACCACCTTCCGGAGACATTTGAAACCCCACCTCTTTAAGGAATACCTGGGATAGGATAAAGTAATCCTTCTACCCCCCCCCCCCCCCCCCCCCCCCACACACACACAGCGGAGTCGCTCACCACCTTCCGGAGACATTTGAAACCCCACCTCTTTAAGGAATACCTGGGATAGGATAAAGTAATCCTTCTACCCCCCCCCCCCCCCCCCCCCCCCCCCAAAAAAATTGTAAAGTGGTTATCCCACTGGCTATAGGGTGAATGCATCAATTTGTGAGTCGCTCTGGACTAGAGCGTCTGCTAAATGACGTAAATGTGCCCTTGAGCAAGGCACTTAACCCTAATTGCTCCTGTAAGTCGCTCTGGATAAGAGCGTCTGCTAAATGACTTAAATGTAAATGTAAATGTTTCTCCCCTCTCTCTCCAGATAAAATCTTGCGACTTGTGACGGCCGGCCGCCCAACAACCTGCCCGCTTGACCCTATCCCCTCCTCTCTTCTCCAGACCATCTCCGGTGACCTTCTCCCTTACCTCACCTCGCTGATCAACTCATCCTTGACCGTTGGCTATGTCCCTTCTGTCTTCAAGAATGCGAGAGTTGCACCCCTTCTCAAAAAACCAAAACTCGATCCCTCTGATGTCAACAATTACAGACCAGTATCCCTTCTTTCTTTTCTCTCCAAAACTCTTGAGCGTGCCGTCTTTAGCCAACTCGCTTGCTATCTCTCTCAGAATGACCTTCTTGATCCAAACCAGTCAGGTTTCAAGAATGGTCATTCAACTGAGACTGCTCTTCTCTGTGTCACGGAGGCTCTCCGCACTGCTAAAGCTAACTCTCTCTCCTCTGCTCTTGTCCTTCTAGACCTGTCTGCTGCCTTTGATACTGTGAACCATCAGATTCTCCTCTCCACCCTCTCCGAGCTGGGCATCTCCGGCGCGGCTCACTCTTGGATTGCGTCCTACCTGACCGGTCGCTCCTACCAAGTGGTGTGGCGAGAATCTGTCTCCGCACCACGTGCTCTCACCACTGGTGTCCCCCAGGGATCAGTTCTAGGCCCTCTCCTATTCTCGCTATACACCAAGTCACTTGGCTCTGTAATATCCTCACATGGCCTCTCCTATCATTGCTACGCAGACGACACACAACTAATCTTCTCCTTTCCCCCTTCTGATAACCAGGTGGCGAATCGCATCTCTGCATGTCTGGCAGACATATCAGTGTGGATGACGGATCACCACCTCAAGCTGAACCTCGGCAAGACGGAGCTGCTCTTCCTCCCGGGGAAGGACTGCCCGTTCCATGATCTCGCCATCACGGTTGACAACTCCGTTGTGTCCTCGTCCCAGAGTGCGACGAGCCTTGGCGTGACCCTGGACAACACCCTGTCGTTCTCCGCTAACATCAAGGCGGTGACCCGATCCTGTAGGTTCATGCTCTACAACATTCGGAGAGTACGACCCTGCCTTACACAGGAAGCGGCACAGGTCCTAATCCAGGCACTTGTCATCTCCCGTCTGGATTACTGCAACTCGCTGTTGGCTGGGCTCCCTGCCTGTGCCATTAAACCCCTACAACTCATCCAGAATGCCGCAGCCTGTCTGGTGTTCAACCTTCCCAAGTTCTCTCACGTCACTCCGCTCCTCCGCACACTCCACTGGCTTCCAGTTGAAGCTTGCATCTGCTACAAGACCATGGTGCTTGCCTACGGAGCTGTGAGGGGAACGGCACCTCCGTACCTTCAGGCTCTGATCAGTCCCTACACCCAAACGAGGGCATTGCGTTCATCCACCTCTGGCCTGCTGGCCCCCTTACCTCTGCGGAAGCACAGTTCCCGCTCAGCCCAGTCAAAACTGTTTGCTGCTCTGGCACCCCAATGGTGGAACAAGCTCCCTCACGACGCCAGGACAGCGGAGTCACTCACCACCTTCCGGAGACACTTGAAACCGCACCTCTTTAAGGAATACCTGGGATAGGATAAAGTAATCCTTCTACCCCCCCTTACCCCCCCCCCCCCAAAAAAAAAATAAAATAATAATAATAACATATTGTAAAGTCGTTATCCCACTGGCTATAAGGTGAATGTACCAATTTGTAAGTCGCTCTGGATAAGAGAGTCTGCTAAATGATGTAAATGTCAATGTAAAACATTAATATTGAATATTGATTCTAGCTGCCATTCTTTATGTAAAATATTCACTATGACGGAGTTTATGTCCCATTCAGGAAATGATAATAGAATATTGCCATATATTACATAGGCCTACAATAATACAAAAATGGCTGAATATTTGATATGTCCTTCTGCACAGTAATCCAACATGCTGTGTGTGCTCCGGGCGCCACCACGTGGGTAGGTAGCCTGTAGGCTATACATC